AGCAAAGCTCCGGAGCAACCGACCTTTTAGAGTTAATGTTACCGATGTTCGATAATATTACCCGCGGGTGTTTGATGCGAAGGACGCAAACAGAAACGCCGCTCGCGCCCGCAGCTGTCGGTAACACTCACAAGGACAGACAAGTACACACGTAAAAATAAGAGTAAAAAATGAAAACAACAACAACCACCCACGTAACCGTGCTGGCACACAAACGCTCAAATATACCTTTACAGATAATTCAAATCAAATCAACCGCTTCAACAGGCACACAACACAACACAAGTGCACACAGCGACTACACCACTCCCGATCAGTACAGCAATCCCAGCAGCCTCTACAGCCATAGGTCAACCCTGCCTTTACAACAAAGGTTATTTGAAGCAGTTATGTCATTTCCATATTTTGTTAAAACAGAAACAGGGTGTTTCAAGATAAATGGCCTTAACAGCCACACCCTGAAGGTCGGATGTCAGTTTCCACTGATGTCAGTTATGCTTCACATTTAGGTTTAATCAGCCTAAACTGGATGGTATGCAAGTCCAGTTTTAATAATCGGTAAACGTTACATTAGTCAGGTTTTATTCATAACATTGGGTTAGGACTTCCTCTGCCGCCCCCTGGAGGACGGGCTCCCCCTTCGGGTCTGGTTAGGGTTAGGACTTCCTCTGCCGCCCCCTGCAGGACGGGCTGCCCCTTCGGGTCTGGTTAGGGTTAGGACTTCCTCTGCTGCCCCCTGGAGGACGGGCTCCCCCTTTGGGTCTGCTTAGGGTTAGGGCTTCCTCTGCTGCCCCCTGCAGGACGGGCTCCCCCTTTGGGTCTGCTTAGGGTTAGGGCTTCCTCTGCCGCCCCCTGGAGGACGGGCTCCCCCTTCTGGTCTGGTTAGGGTTAGGGCTTCCTCTGCCGCCCCCCGGAGGACGGGCTCCCCCTTTGGGTCTGCTTAGGGTTAGGGCTTCCTCTGCTGCCCCCTGGAGGACGGGCTCCCCCTTTGGGTCTGGTTAGGGTTAGGGCTTCCTCTGCTGCCCCCTGGAGGACGGGCTCCCCCTTTGGGTCTGGTTCCTCCCTAGGTTTCTTCTTTCTAGGGAGTTTTTCCTTGCCGCTGTCACCTTTGAATTGCTCACTTTGTTTGTAGATCACAAGGCTCATCATCATGGATGTATTTGTAATAAATGCTGACAAAAACGTTACAGTTAGACAAAATATAAATAAATGCTGCTAAGTATTTCTGTGATAAACAGTCAGTACGGAATATAACTTAAGGTACAATTTTAACAAAAAAATCCAGCATAATTAACACAAAATGACAACCACAAATCCATGTTTGGGAGCCTGGATTCCAGTTGTTTCTGTAGATTGTCGCAATCTATTTGATTCTTTTATTTAGTCTGTAAGAAGAATAAAGAAGCCCCAGTTACATCGTTTCGTACAATCAGTCTCGCAGCAGCTCTTTCCCATTATAGATGTGTTTTTGCAGCATTCAAGCTGAATGCTAGCACTGCTGCTCAGTGGGTGTGACCGCAGCGACTGTGTAACTGGCCACTGCATCGTCACGTGCAGACGCTCTCCTCAGTGCCTGCTCTGACTTCCGCTGAGCCGAAACCGCAGCATTGTCCAAATCGCGTCAGCTTCTCACCCACTCTGCTGTTTTCACAAACCATGCGGTCTGCCAGCCTTTCTCCACAACAGCCCTCCAGAATCTTTAAGAAACTCTGAACACGACTGCAGTGTTACTGTCCAAGTGCACGGAGTAAGTGACATGTACGAACAAAGCAGCTATTTAAATACAGGAAGGGATAGAGCAGTTTTGCATTTGACAACCAATAGATTTATGACAAGAAGACGGAAATACAAAGAAGTTACAGAAAACTGGGTTTGATATGGTCTCTTCTTACAAAACCTGCACATACACATGCTCGCATACAACACATGCCCGCACCCCCCACATACTGAGAGCCTGCACATCCCCATACCCCCCACATACTGAGAGCCTGCACATCCCCATACCCCCCACATACTGAGAGCCTGCACATCCCCATACCCCCCACATACTGAGAGGCTGCACATCCCCATTCCCCCACATACTGAGAGGCTGCACATCCCCATACCCCCCACATACTGAGAGGCTGCACATCCCCATACCCCCCACATACTGAGAGCCTCCTCATGCACACACCCTCAGATAAACCACAGTGGTGGCTGCATGTGATCATGTGCATCGGCTGTCATCTCTCTGAGCTGCAAAAAATGCCACAGATAACACAGAACATTTGTGGTCTGTTCGCATGCTGCCGGTTCTGCTCGGGGGGTTATTGCTGCAGCCGGGGGGGCGTCGGCCACTAAACAGGGCCTGGGCTTGTGTAGGAAATTAGGTTATGGTTAGGCTTAGGGTTAGGCCAGTTACTGTTGTACTGTTGTACCTTAAATTACGATGCTCAGTCTGATTACATTCCTTAAATATTCTAGTATATAAAAAATAGGTTTAATAAGTACTCAATTAGGGCTGTGAGAATAACATTACCTGTTATTCTAAATACTAATTAAACGTACCAATATATTACTGTCTGAGCTGCACATATATGGAAATGTAGTTGCTATTGAGTTGCTCAGATTCCGGAATTCTAGGATGGTTTTGTCTATTACAGCAAAATGAGCAGCTTTTCCTGTAGCAGATTAAAAATGAATTTTGTGTTTGACATTAATTTATGTAGCAGATATTTTTGTCCAAAAAGACATACAAGTGAGCAGAGCTTGGGGTCTGAGAGGACAGTGAACCACGATCACCGAGGCCATCAGGGTTAAGGGCCAAACAGCAATATGATCACATCCCCAACTTTCCATACATGGGCACAGATCTCTAATCTAAACTATCCACCAGATTTCATGAATGTTGCATCCATTACCCAAAGATGTGAAAATAAAACCACATACCATTAATGTGGCCTTTCAGATCTGAGAGTGTGTGTGTGTGTGTGTGTGTGTGTGTGTGTGTGTGTGCGAGCGGGTTTACCTATCCTTATGGGGACATAATGTCCCCATAACGTGATAAATATCCATTTTTTTTCCCTTATGGGGACCGGTTTCCTGGTCCCCATAAGGGAAAACTCTATTTTATAAAAATCGGTGACTGCTATGAAAAAACTAAAAATGCAAAAACTCTTGTATTTTGTTAGGTTACTTATGGTTATGGTTAGGGCAGGGTAGGGGTTAAGGTTGTCATAGTTAGCATTAGCATTTTTCCCATTAAAATGAATGTGCGGTCCCCATAAGGATATGTTTACCCTACATGTGCGTGTGTGTGTGTGTGTGTGTATACAGAAATAAAGAGTGGGGAGCTGGATGAAAAAGAGTTTATTTCATCTTATTATGAGTAGCAGTCAGCAGATGTTTTTTTCAACTTCCACCCAAACCAAGTAGGGAAGAGGAAAGCGGGGCGGATGCAAAATAACCCACTGCAGCTCTGCATCAGTCACTGCGTCAGCCCACACAATGACTCACACACCACCAACACTGCTCCCCTCCCACAACCTACAAGACCCCCACACCCCTCTGCCCAATCTACCCCCGCCGTGTAGCTAGCCATGCTCTGGATGTCACTGGTTACCACGGTTGGTTACCACAGCTACCACTGGCAGCTGCCTGATACTGAATCAATAATCCATGGCTGAAGGGGAATTAAGTAAAACACCACCCACAATATCCTGAGGAACAGAAAGACCTGCAAAGACCTTCAGTGCTTTGTCAAGACTCAGTGAGTCTCCATGTATTTGCTGTGCAGGGTATGTTTTAAAATGTTTAAAGTGTTAAAGTACATATTGAAACAATAAATTCAAAAGTAGTACCAGTAATATTAAACATGCAGTATTATTAAAGATGGTGTGCATGCCAAAAACAATACTAAAGTGAAACAATAGTTATAAAAAGTAAAACAATGACTGTAAGAGATGGAAGGTGGAGAGAGACTTAGTGGGTCAGGGCACCACGCCTGGGATCAGGAGGTCTGACGCTGCTGTAGTGTTATGAGTTTTTAGACGGTCAGGATTACTTCTAATCATTAAAAATTTTAGTATACAAAATAAATCCAATAAATGAAATAGTAATTGTCACAAAAACACGGTCAGGGACGATCCACAGTGCAGACTGGAAACAGAAGGGATTTTACTGAAACTGAACTTAAATGACACCAGAAATATGAGGGACCACAAGGGGTCAAAACACAAGGCAGGGAGGTGAAAGACAAAGTATCAAAGACCACACTGACACCGGGAAGGTCTGAGAGGCACCAAAAGCAACATCATCACATCCGGGGAACATGCAGGAAAGAAATGCAATGATGGACAAGAGGCCAGGGAAGGAGGGGGAGACAAGGAACAGGTGTGGACCATTACTACTCACACACAAGGGACCAGAAGCTACAGGGAACAGGAGGGGGTCACTACCAGCACTAAAGACTGGAACACTAGAAGAAACTATGAATATACAGGGGTTGGACAATAAAAGGCCACACTAAATTATTAGTATGGTGTAGGGCCTCCTTTTGTAGCCAATACAGCATCAATTTGCTTTGGGAATGACAGATACAGGTTCTGCGCAGTGGCCAGTGGGATTTTGAACTATTCCTCTTGCAGAACAGTGGCCAGGTCGCTATGTGATGCTGGTGGAGGAAAACGTTCCCTGACTCGTTCTTCCAAAACATCCCAAAGTTGCTCAATAATATTCATATCGGGTAACTGTGCAGACCATGGCAGATGTTCAGCTTCACTGTAATGCTCATCAAACCACTCTGTCACCAGTCTTGCTGTGTGTATTGCTGCCTTATAATAATCCTGATACACGGCACCACCTTCAGGGTACAATGTTTCAACCATGGTCCTCCAGAATGGCTTGGCAGCTCTTGGCAGTGACTCGCCCATCTAGAACAGGTACTGGGCCTAGGGAATGTCGTGATGTTGCAGAGATAGTGAAGGTGGACTCATCAGAGAACAATACATGGTTCACATTGCCCACAGCCCAATATTTGCATTGCTGGCACAGTTGAAATTGACGTATTGCACTGGCACGAGTGACCAAAGGTTTGGTTATAGCAGCCTCACCATGAACACTGACCCTGTGGAGCTCCTGACGAGCAGTTTTGGTGGAATCAAGAGAGTCAAGGTGCACATTTACTTCTGCAGTGAGTTGAACAGCTGTGGTTATATATGTTTTTTTTTGGATACAATCCAGAGATCCCTTTCAGACGGCTTCCTGTTGCATCTACAGTTACTCCTGCTGGATGTGTTCCGTCCTTTATGGGGGTATGCTGACATTGTCCTGGATACTGTGGCTCTCGAAACACCACAAAGACCTGCTGTCCTGGTCGCAGATGCACCAGCGAGACGCACACCAACAATTTGTCCTCCTTTGAACTTTGTTATGTCTCCCATTATATTGTGTGGATTTGCAACATTTTATGTACAGCTGTGCTATTGCCCTGCCAATTCAGCCTTCACACTCTGCAATTACCAATGGAATGTGCAATCAGTGAAGACTGGTCACCAGGCCATGCACTGGGTGAAACCTCAAACTCTACTGGCCATGTTCCACTTTCATTGTCTAACCCCTGTATATGAGACAGAGTACAAAATTAGACACTAACAGGGTTAATAAAGGCACAGGGTCTCTACTAACAATTATATATTGATAAATTGGATTTGATAGTGATTATACCTTCATTGATCCCTGTGGGGTTATTTTCTTTTTGCCTACAATTTTGGCATCTTGCTCCCAGATGAGACCAAGTTTAGCAGTGAAGAGCGGCCGTCTATCGTGGTGCCCAGGGATATTAGATACGATGTATCCCTGTATATATGTGTATCGGTTAGACTGCTTCAGTGAGGTCATGACCAACAGAGCCCAGCCAACCCTGGAGCATAAAAGAACGAAGAAGACAGTCAAAGACAACAGAGTTGGGTTATTCCTTTGCAAAACATTCTGATTATATATATATATATATATATATATACAGTATGTATGTATTACCTCCGTCTCCTTACTTATGTGAATACCAGGGATCATCAGCCTGTCTGTGGCAAGACTCATCTGTGTTTGTAGCAAAATGTTTTGAGAAAAAAAGAGAGGTATGTTTTGTAATACCATGTCAGGTACAAATTGGGTTTTGATAAAAATGTCTCTCAGAATTGATTATGATGGATACCGAAATGGAGAGACAGAGGGATGTAAACCAGGTGTTCGATCGAGCCTTTCTGTGCACGTGCAGTTCCACCGTCTTGGGGTTAGGCTTTAGGGGTTAGGCTTAGGGTTAGGTTTTAGGGGTTAGGGTTTTAGAGGGCTTTTTGGGGTTAAGGTTAGGGCTATTGATTAGCACTACTAACTCGACAAAGTAGCTTAACTCGTCAGCACACGGCTACTTCCTCAGTAAACAAACAAATAACCTAACAGACAAACAGCATGTTATTCGAAACGCACTGAACAGTGACTTTAACAGAGTAACCTCCCTACCTCCCTGTTCCTTTAGCGTGCAGAATTCACAGGGTCAGACATTTAAGCGAGAGGGCAAGCTTACAGCAGACATAGAGCACATGCTGTAAGCGTGATGGCAAACGTCACTGTGGAAGAATTTGTCCGAGCAGATGAACTTAAATGCCATCCGTATGTCGACGGAGTTAAGCACTGCTTAGATTAGATCGTTTTCAAAGTATGGGGTTTTTTACACAGCTGTTGTGTACTTTCTCACAATTTTAAATTATATTAACATTCCTTATTATAATTAAATATACTATAATTAAATTGTCAACTGATCAGACAACCTTTTATTTGTTGTATTTTTGCGCTCTAGGCAGCGTCCAAGGGAGAATAAATATCCCACACTGCCCTCTGGTGTTAGATAATTGGAAGTGCGAGGATACTGGCCTGCTGTCCGGTTCTTTTAGTAAATAAAATTTTGGTAAATATTTGGTGATAGTTTATTTAAAGATAAACTGTACACCGTATCAGTTTATGGTCAACCAAAAATAATTAAAATAATATATAATAGAATGTGCATAATTATTCACCTAAAAGTATTCCTGTAAAATGATAGCATAATTTTTATCATCATTCCCAGCTGAAATTTATAAGGATTGGGACTCAAAACTCATCATTCACGAAGAAAGGTGATAGACTAAGTCCCGCTGTTAATATAAAGTCCCCCAGTTCACACTGGGGAGGCTGGTACAGTAAGGAGGCTCATGTCCTGAATCATAACCCGTCCCACCCATCCTCATCCATCACACTTAATTACCAATCAAAATTAAAAAAAAAAAAAACACTGAAATGAACACCACCAGCAACGGCTAACTTGTAACTGGGATGAATGAATCCTAATTATGACACTTTGCATCCCACAATATCAGAAAAGAAAGAGATCAGTCAAAACTGAACCAGGGCATTTTTATATCCAACATCTTACATATTATACAAAATATTTACAAATCATTTACAATGAATAATAAAGCGTCGCTATATAAAACACTCACTTATTAACAAAGTACATTTACAGGGACAGCATTACAGGACTCATTTCTAAGCACTTACCTAAATCAGACTGTGACTTTACTTGGTTAATGGTGACTTAAATCAGACTGAGACTTTACTTGGTTAATGGTGACTTAAATCAGACTGAGACTTTACTTGCTTAATGGGGACTGACACCATGTGACACAGCCCCGCAGCCCCAGACTCATACACACCACTGAATGTAGAAAATAAGTTATAAAGGTAAATTTTGCAAAGGATGCAAAGGCACATAAAAGACTGGGAATGGCTTGTAAATGTCTCCTAAGCTGAGAGACCGGCCCCCTTGTTCTGCCCCCCCCCCTGTTATGCTGTGTCTGTGTCTATAGCCAGTTCTTCCCTCAGAGCCGTAGCACTGTCCCTGTAGCTCTGGCTCAGCTCTTCGTCAGGAATATAATTGGCATGGATCTCCGCCAGCTTCATGTAAATGACATACAATGCCCTGGCATTGTCCTGGTCCTCCAGTGCAGCGGCCAGTGCCAGGTGGAAGTAGCCCTTGGCATCGATGGCGTCCTGGACGACAGCGAAACAATGCAGCTGTTACAGAGCCTGCAGGCCTCCCCTCGCTAATAATTACTCCGAACTACCTTAGCAGTACGGGCCAGCACTGTGTTTCATTACATAAAAGGAGAAAAGTTGGCTGAAATTATCAATATGAAATTAAATCAACTTTTATTCAGTAGTTTGAATTTACAATAAAACAAATGACCAGCAGACCGGATCCGTTTTTAACAAATCACTGTAATGCCCTGTAATGCACTGTAATGCACTGTAATGCACTGTAATTATTTAAAGGGCAAACCATGTTTCCATCCTACCTTCAGCTGGTGCAGTGTTATAGCCCCCAAGCGACAATATACTTTAACAAAGTATCTGGCCTCTTTCGGATGCTCCAGGATGGCAGAGCTGAGAGACAAGGCCTTGAGATAATAATTCTCTGCCAGCTCAAAGCGCTGAAGGGAGAAGTAGACAGTGGCGAGGCGGTGGAAGGCCACGCGCTCCTGCTGACACACACCTGCGGGGTGGAAAGCGTCAGGCACACTGACCCGGGCAGGAAGGCAGACCGCGGCTGTGCTGGGATGGGGCCTGGAAGCCTCGTACCTGTGGCCGTGCTGACCTCCACGGCGAGCAGGGCGTACTGCAGGGCCTCCTCGTACTGTCCCCCGTCCAACAGCAGCTCTGTGATTTTACTCAGGAGCCGAAACTCCGCCTGCATGTCCTTGACGCCTCTGGCGAAGGGGAGGCTCCCATCCTGAATGAAGGCACAGGAATGACCTTTTACACATTACTGAGGAACCAAGACGTATACAAACGTAAACCGGAACAGGGTGGGGGGGCGATAACATCGGTGTCAACAAACAGCTGCACCGATAGACTTTGCCCTCTCCCCCAGACGGCTCGACGCAGGGCGCCTTATCTGCAGAGTGGGGGACAGAGAGGACGCGCTTACCCGGTAAAAGGGGAAGGCTGCCGCTCGGTTACGGAGGCCTGTGAAGAACACGTCTCCAGCCTCCTCATATATCCGCCCGGCAAAGCATGCGTCGTGCATCCTTAGCGCAGTTTTTACTGCAGCCTGCAACAAGGGGTCTGTTTGACTGGGCTCTAAAAAGCAGCCGGGCAGGCAATGGTGTCTCATGGTTAAACCAAAGAGCTTCTAACGTGGAGGTACCTGCAGGTACATGTCGGCCAGCTCGTCTTCCTGGATCAGGTAATATATCCTGCCCACCTGAAGCCAGGTCTCCGACTCCTCCTCTCGTTTGCCGAGGTCAATGGAGATCCGAAGGCTCTGTTTGGTGTAGTCCAGTGACTTTCTTGAAGACCTGGAGAGCGTCCCCTTTTTTACCATCGTTGAGCAAGCCTGGCCTTACTAGCTCAATAATGTGAGTGTATGACAGCGGTGTTAAATTTATATTCCAGTTTTATCTGAGAATAAAATGTGTAACATTTCCCTTAACGTTTCCCTGTCAGGTAAACACAGCTAAACACAGTTAAACGCCTGTAAAGCAGAGGGTGACGCCGTTCACTTAACCTCACAGTGAAAAGCCTAAGCTTCTGGCTGGACGCTCTTACGTATCCTGCAGTGTGTGAATATGTGAGGCAGCCTTACTTCTCGGTGTTTAACGAGAGGTAGAGGTTGCTGAGCATCTCCAGGAACTCGCCCTCCAGCTTCTTATCCTTCAGCTCCTGTGCTAGCTGCACACAGTGCTCACAGTAGATGATACACTGACCGTACAGCAGCATATCAGCATAAAGACGGCTCAGCTCTTTCGCCACCACAATCTGACCTGGTAAGAGACAAGAGAAATCAGCTAATTCTACAGTGAAGCATGTGGAGGTAAAACAGGCAAGCTGTCCCGTTAAATTATTGACTTCTGGTACTTCTAGGCCGTTCACTCACTGTGAAGGTTCTTGGCACCAATGGCAATCAACAAAGCCATCTCATAACACAGCCTAACCTCTTGGCTTTTCCCTCTATCCCTATAGCTCCTCCCCAGCCAGAGGTAGGCCTGGACATGCTCCGCATCCGTGGGGGTGTCTGAGAGCTCTGGGAAGAGACGCAGGGACCTTAGCAGGAAGCGCTCAGCCAGCGCCGGGGCGCCGATGGACAGAGCCAGGCATCCTATGTTAGCCAGTACCAGGCCTTCGTTGCGCTTGTTGCCGTTCTCCTGGGAGATCTGGAGGGCACGGTGGAAGTTGCTGGCTGCTTCCTGCACCTGCCCCCCATGCCTGAGACAGAGGCCCAGGATGTTATGCACAACGCCACACTGGGTGGGGCTGTCTGTCTCATTCAGGGACTGCAAGAGCGGCTGCAGGGTGTCCGAAGCCCTTTCTGTCTCTGCCCTGAGGACCAACAACCAGGCCAGCAGCACAGTGGCCTCAAAGCCCCCCTCCTCGCTGAGGTGGCCCCCCATCTGCACAGCTCGCTGGGTACACTGGACCGCCTTCTCTAAGGCTCCATGCTGCTGGTACACATTGGTCAAGCCCAGGCATAAGTCTCTCTGGGTTCTTATGTCATCCCCGTGGCTGGCGATGGACAGAGCCTGCTGGAGGTACACCACAACCTGTGCAGGGAGTACCGAGGTTCCGTCTCTCCACTGCGGGTTGAGCCTGACAGAGTTCTTGATGAACATATCTATCTTTTGAAAAGCATCCTGAAGGGATCGATCTGAGATGGAGTCAAGGCTTAATGACGCTAAAGTGAGGTAGGGTAAGTACTTCTTATGGTAGAGTCTGCTCAGCATCCAGTTGAGGTCCACAGGTGCAAGAGGACTCCCAGAATGGGTGGAGAGGCTTATAGTGAGAAACTGTAGCCTCTCCACAAAAGGCAGAGTGTCCTCCACCTTCCGCATTCGAAGGAAGAGCTTGACGATGAGGTAACAGGTTCGTGCCTCCAGGTACTTGTCACTCTCCACAATGGCCTTACGAATCAGGAGTTTGAGGACCTCGAATTCGTCAATGGAGCAGAATTCGTGCTCAGGCAGGCAGAGGAGCAGGGTGCTGGCCTTCTCCAGCGTGTGGGACAGCTTCTCCAACTGCCTCTGCTTCAGGTAGACGGCGGTGAGGTTGGTGTAAAGGGCGACTAGGAGGGGTGGATCTGCAAAGCCTTTCACCGGCATGGATAAAGCCTCCTCGAAATACACTCTGGCCTGAGAGTACTTGTTCTTTTTGGCGCACAGTCTGCCCATGAGGAAGCAAGCGCGCCGGTGTGCCCACTGCATGCCGCTCTTCTTTGCGCCCTCCCGCACGTTCTCCAGGTGCAGCAGCAGCTCGTCCTCTGTGTAGCCTCTAAACGTGGTCTCCAGGAAGGAGTAAGACATGTCGCAGAATGCCTGGGATGTCTCCTGGAAGTGGTCCTGGTTCAGCAAGCTCATGATTGGGTCATAGAGCTCCGCCTCCTCCGCCTCCCAGCTGCTGTCATCCATGAAGAGCTGCGGATCTTCCTCAAACTCATCCATCTCTTTGAAAGTGTCATCCAGGCTAAACGACAGCATCTCGCCATCCTTCTCAAGCTGGCTCTGGGAGGCGTAGATGGAGGAACGGGGAGAGGACTGGTAAAAGGGGCTGGCGCTCTTCTCGGAGATGGTACTCTGTCGAGCACAGATCGGACTTTTCTGCTCTGAAAAAAATTCAACACAGAGCAGCGTCCTGCCATGAGCTCTCATGAAAAAAACCATAACTGTTATCTCACCATAATGAGCTGAACACAGGCAGTGCGTTCCTTCGGACTTAATGGTTCTGTCATGTGTTTAGACAAAGCTATCATTCAGAAGCATGAATACTGTATATTAAAAAACCATTTGATTTGGACAACGGAATAGGATAAATAGCATACACGTATTTAAAAAAAAATAATACACATCTGAGACATCAAAGAATTCAAAAGAATTTCCAGTACCTTGCTTTGGTTGATTTTTAATGTACGTGAAGTCAGATTTATCTAGTCTATCTGCAGAAAAACAAAAAGCAGTTTGTTGAAACCTGACTGGGCTGCAAGCGGCAGTGAGCCTTGAAAATATCATCATCATCATCATCACAGTGTCAGAGCAGGTTCCTACAGGCTCAGGAGGCTTCATACCTAATCTGTACACAGTGCTGATGTCGGTCGCGGAGAGTTTGTTCAAGAGAGCACTGTAGCTCTGCTCTGTGCAGGGGTTGCAGTGAGCCAGGGTCGCTCTCTCATTCTCGCTGAGAAAAACCAATTGTCCATCCCTTGAAAAGCGCAACAAAGAGGCCATTATCATCACATGACTCTCATTTCTCGACCCGTCCATCTTGATAGTGGTAAACATGCAATAACCAGGAAATTAGAAGATGGGCGTTTTGGAAGCATCCTCATCTTAAAAAGCTCTATCAATATCAGTCAGGAGGAACTGATGATGTCAGTCATCATAAATTCCGATTTGTAAGCAGTTATTACAATTTAAGCTGTGATGCATAGGAAAGTGAGTTTGTGTAATTTTGAAAATACAAATACATGAATACATTAAAACAATAAAAATTCATGTCCTTATTTATTGGTCTAGGCAACAGTCAGGGACATTGAAAGTCTTTTATGATAGTTAGATAATGCTGTAAGGTTAGGGCAGTGTTTGCCAATCCAGTCCTCGGGGACCAATACACAGTCCACATTTTTGCTTCCTCCCAGCTCCCAGTAGGGAGCAAAAACATGGACTGTGTGTGACCCAGAGAACCGAATTGGGAAAGGCTGTGTTAAAGCTCACAGTGGCTGTAGACTTTCTGCCTTCACGTGGGCCTTCTGGACGAATCCTATCAAACCACTGGGCAGGTGTCTCCCTACGAAGAGATCCAGACTGGCCAGCAGAAAGCCCTCCACCTGGATCAGGTCGCCTTTGCTGAACCGCAGCTCATCCTGCCCAATGGGATCATGGTCCACCACAGCCACGCAGGTACCTCTCGCTACAGGTCCAACAGCAGATTAAAAATAAGTTTCACTTATACACATAAAACATTCCACGTCTGAGTAGCTATTAAACTTAAGCTATTAAACTGCTTAACTGATGCTGATGGTCAGCTGAGTATCCAATAAAATTATCAGTAGGCTATGGCCGGAAAATCAGAACCATTAGGTGTCTAATGCGTATGCGGCGTTTGCGATATGAGGCGTCTCTCACCGATGCGATGAACGAACGGGCCCTTATTGGCGGCACCCCCGGCACTTCCTGGATACTTCCTAAGAAACCACCTTTAATGAAATCCACACCGTTAGAATTCACCCGGTTCTGGCGGCTACCTGGCATCGAGCTGGGCACACTTGGCTCCGAAGGCACCTACTGGTAGAAGGGGTAGGGCAGGGGCTGCATGGCGTGCACGGGCACCAGGCCGTGCTGCCCGGTGGCCAGCAGGCTCCCCTCCCACGTGGCATCCTGGCCCGTGTCCTTCACCATCACCAGGTCGTTCTTCTTGTACGGCAGGTCCTCCTCTTCGGTGTACTTGCTGTCGTACAGCGCCTTCGAGAAGAATGTCCCTGCAAAGAGACGTTTTGGGTTCTTTTAACATCTCATTGAAGTCATAGTCATATCTGATAAGCTGCTGTACCCGTTCAGGGTCCTCTGTGTGCTTTTTCTCTCTGTGCTGCATCCTGACTATGCTAGTTTCAGCATTTCATCGACGTCTGTTTTGTTTTTCTGGACTCATTGTAAATAAATGCAGCCCAGCAAACAATGCAGCATATTCAGGTAATAGCTCATTCCAACCCGATTTGCTGAGCGATTCGCTGGAACAAAAACACTGTTCACCCACAGTAATTCCCACAGAGACTCTGCATTAATCCATCATGGAACGCTAAATCCTTAGTATTTGTAAATATACCCAGTTTCTCAGAAGCTAATTGGTTCTCATGTATTTAATCATTTCCATTAGCTGAAGATTCAGAACATTCTGTTTGCGGAGCAGTCAAAAAGACTCGTATAATTTTGTACGTGAAAATCAAATGATATTTAATGGGTAATAAGGTCAGACTGTCAGCACTGTACATGGCCATGTGGAAATATGCTGGTCCAGGCTCTGGCGGCTAGGGGAAGGTTCTTATTAAGCTACGCCGGAGCGGTGGATATAGAAGGTGGCTCCTTGCCTTCCTGCAGCAGCAGGCCCAAGTAGAGGGTGGCCAGGTGCTCCTCATCCACCGTGACGCAGATCTCCACATCGCTGAGGAGGGGTGAGTCCAGCCAGAAGCTCTGATCACACAGGAAGTTCTCCAGGCATCGGGCCACGTACCCTGTGCAGACCGTGAAGTGTCCTCAGTCATTAGCATTCACCGACACCTTGTGGGCAGGCATTTGGTGCATATCCAGTGGCAGAAGTACCTAAGGCCAGGTAAGTGGAGAACTTCCAGATCTCCTCAATGGTCTTAAAGGTGATGACAAAGCAGTCCTTCTCAGCATGGACTGACAGCAGGCGAGCAGACAGGTCCTGCACAGGGTGTTTTTGGTGAGAAGTAATACTAAATAACCAAATTTCAGTGACATGATAACATATATTCCTTATATATGATAGGTTACGCAATAGTTAACATATTAGCAGCTTTCACGCAGACACACGCAACATGAGGCCTGCATCTGACCTTGAACAGCTGAGCGACATCCTGGCTGTTGCTCTCAACCACCCGGAGTCGTGTCCGCAGCGCCTCCTGCAGGTCAGTGTTGGGTTCTGCACTGGAGCGCCACCTCCCGCTGAACTGCAGCAGTACATCTGCACAACAACAAAAAGATGGCAAACAAGGCAACCCACAGAAATGAGGTATGTTGCAGACATGCATTAGGCTTAAATCACCGCCCAGCCCTTCCCCCCACCACCTTTAGTGCCCACTCTCTTTAAGTGGAAGATGTAATGCTGACAGTAAGTCCCTAATCCTACAGATCTGAGGGAGCCCTGTAGCAGAGAGCTCTACAGACCCACTGGGATGCTGTAGCGGAGGAAGGAGACGCAGCCAGACAGTCTTTGCTGTACGTATCTGTGGGGATCTGTCAGTAAAATAGCTGCAGCACCATATGGTCGCGGAAATATGAAATTAAACTTTCAGCGGGTTTTGCGGCGTCCAAACGTGACAGACTGTCAGGGGGGGGGCATTCGCCCAGCCACTGCCTGAGCAGGAGGCCTGTGGGTCTGCTAAGCCAGCCAAGGCTCTGTGCTTCCCTGGGGAGACGCTAAATGCTAATCTCACGGTCAAGAGTGACTGGCAAATGACAGGGTGCCCGGGGAACAGATGTGTGACGCGAGATGAAGAGATAGGCGAGTCGGGTGTGACGATTTTCGACACCTGCGGCAGTACCCTTACAATGAGAGACTGCTGCAGGTCACGTAAAATCCAGAGATGTAGGTGACAGTTCATAAACGGGGGGTGTTTCCTTTTTCAGCAGTGATACACTGTACAGAGACACAGAGTGGGCACACTTTCAGTACAATGTACAGATGAGTCATTGCAGTGAGCATGCCAAGTATCCGTAAACAAACAGTGATGCTTAGGACATTGTTCTTGAAATCAGAGAAATTTCCCCGGGGGGGGGGGGGGGGGGCCGGGGGGGGGGGGGATGTGATCTGGGTGATTGTTTTCTTACAAGTGATATTCAGTCCCTGGTAACCCAGTCGCTGATGCCCAAATGGCCCAAATTAGCTGATGTTTCAGGGGGCAGTGCTAGATGGGGCAGTGCTGGATGGGGCAGTGCTGGATGGGGCAGTGCTGGTGGGGCAGTGCTGGATGGGGCAGTGCTGGATGGGGCAGTCCTGGTGGGGCAGTCCTGATGGGGCAGTGCTGGATGGGGCAGTGCTGGATGGGGCAGTCCTGATGGGGCAATGCTGATGGGGCAATGCTGATGGGGCAGTGCTGGATGGGGCAGTGCTGGATGGGGCAGTCCTGATGGGGCAATGCTGGATGGGGCAGTGCTGGATGGGGCAGTCCTGGTGGGGCAGTGCTGGATGGGGCAGTGCTGGTGGGGCAGTGCTGGATGGGGCAGTGCTGGATGGGGCAGTGCTGGTGGGGCAGAAGGCTTTTAGGGATCTTAGTAAGCTGTGTTAGGAGGCTTTTATTGACTCGTCAGGTTCTTCTTAAAGGGGTCTTAATGCTGTTTCACTGTGTGTTTCACTTCTTAAAGCCATGATGTTTATTTACACTCTATGGTCTTTCCCTGTGGCTGTCCTCCACCCCACTGGCTGCAAAAAATCCCAAGTGTGCCCAGTTCTCACTGTGCAGCTCTGTGGTCAGCAGGGGGCAGCGGGCCACCAAAGCATGGGCCTGGCGGCCGGGCGTACCTGACGAGAAGCGCTCGCCCACCGCCAGCGACACTGTGCTGCCCTTATCGAAGGCCTCCTTCCTCTTCCAGTAACTGTCCAACTCTGGCGCTGGTTCCACTTCCTCTTCCTCCCCTGGCCCAGGGGGAACACAAGGGTTCAAAAGGATTTCCGCAGCACTCGACGGGGACTCACTGGGGACACACTGCATTCTGTACTGAGCAATCAATAGCTAATGCCTCTCTGTCGTCCCCTTGGAATTTCAGTATTTTATCAGAGGAACGCACTCTCCCCTCCTGTATGGCACCCAGTACACTCGGCACCTTAAATTAGTGTCCTTAAAATGAAACCAGTATGAAGCGATGGGCCCTCTATCAGAAACACTCCGAAACCCTGTAACTGATTCAACTGGCATGAATTACCGTTTGTTGTTTGTGAACAAAGTTACAAGCATATTTATTCGCTTCATGCATGAAAAACCAAGCTAGTCATGTTAGTCAACTGACACTGAACACGTTAACAGCAACAACAAGGTGAGGAGCTACTATTGCCTGACTGTACACATATCTGGGGTTGTGCTACTGGGATGTTTTTGAGTAATAAACACATTTCCAGGTTGTGCATTGTGAATAGAGGATGTCCACAAGACTTCCTTACTCAGCAGCCAATTCGCTATACCATAACACAGAGCCTCTTTGTCCCTGTGAATCACTGAATCAACTTTGCTATCCAGTAAATCATAGCTCACTCTTTCATAAATGAATAATACATTCAACCGTTTACATCTTTCAGCCTCTGAATTTGAAAAATGAAAGGCATACACATTAGCTGATCTTCCTGTACACAAAAAGTAATTCCGATAATGCCATTACCTGTCGTCATGATGTCATTTCCTGTAAAGATCTCATTGGCCGCATCCAGCGTGTATGGAGGCTCAGTCCACAAAGCGTCCAGATCAGCTGGCGATATGTCTGAGGAGAGAAAATGCCATTGTGGCTGGAGCTGGTACGCATTCCCAGGTTTGGTTGCAGAACGAAGGGTCAAAAGCATGTAGACAGACACGGCCGTGTCCTCACACGACGGTCATCTCCACGGACGACAGACAGGCAGTAGTCACACAGGCGTCCGGCGGCATAAAGTGACCTCAAGTGCAACATGCATTCTAGTCTAATCTAACTCCATCACATTTCTGGGCAACATAGACTTTATGGGCTGACTAATTTTCCCAGATATGAATCAGCCCTTGATGAGACCCCCTCAAAACATAGACAGGGTTAGAGCAACATCCTAGCCTGATTTACACAGGGTCAACAGGGAGCCAAAGAAGCAGCGTTTTAGCCCAGCTCTGGCTGTGAAGGAGACCCGACAGGACAGGGACAAGCTTGCAGCTCCCGTCGGTTAGCGGAGGTCCAGGTCAGCGTCACGCACACTCAGCATCTCATGCGAACACCTGCTCATGCTCGTTACCTTCACTGGTGAATATATTACCCATAGCGCCTGGAACTAACGAGACGTTTGTCTGCGAAACCTACGAACATCAACGGGCACCAACCTGAAACCAAGAAGCATTTTCTCAGAAACTCCCCCGTGCAGCACATCTCGCCGTGCTCCTCAGAACTCGCTCCTGCTGGCCCGTCTGGAGAGGGTTACACCCCACACCCTGCCGGCGCTGCTATTCATCCCAGTCTGAGAGCACATTTCTCCCTCTCTCTCTCTCCCTCTCTCTCTCTCCCTCTCTCTCTCTCTCTCACACACACACACACAAACACACACATTATCTTTCCTCCGCAGACTCGCCTCCGAATGCACAGAGCTCTGCTGATGGCATGCTTGTGTGGGTAAGTTTGTGCGAGCGCCAAAGGCCCTCCGAGGGCCATCGGTCACATGCCTACGTTATTTGTCGACATCAGTTGTTAACGTTACGTGGCTTAAGTTAGTGCCGGAAAGTGCTCCAATTTCTGTTAACATGCTATATTTTGATATAAAGTTATTCTCAGCTGTGGGAAAAATCCAACTGGCCACAGTTATCCGCCATCTTAAATTACTTTTATACAGTTGACTACCTTTTAACACATGTTGTAAAGGGCTAGGCAGCGCTCAGCGTGCTGGCCCCCCTCCCCAGAGAAGCGTGAAGACCCCACTCCCCGCCCGCCCTGCTCGGGACAGAGAGGGCGAACACACCGCAGTCTTTGTCCTCCTGGAGCCTCCCCTTCATAGCGCTGCACATTCCCTATGCCGCTCGGCAGCAGTAAAATGTCGTGTTTTGTCAGCGTCAGCGTCGATACATGATTTAATATTGACACAAATCTCCCCCCGTTACTCTCCCCAGAGCGAGCGTGTGCGGCGCAAAGAGCTAAACAAATGCTGAGGACAAGGCAGCCCCAGCCCTGTCTGTCAGTAATAAAAGCTGGAACTTAGACTACAGCGCCGGCTTTTAAGCACAGCCATTAAGAGCGACAGAAAGGCTTCACGCTAAAACATTCTGAAGTGCATCGACAGTGTGAGACGCCAGGTGGATGAACTTCACATCGAGCAAAAACAGGAAGAACAAATCATACATTTGCCAGAGCTCAGGCTCCAAACTCAGTAACTGGGGGGGTCGTGAGTTTGTCTGCATTTCATTGACAATTCATTTTTACAGAGAAGCATAGAGTGCAATGGCTGCAGCTTCTAGACAAACACTTCTGTTGGCCCCTAATGTTCTTCCATCACTTACTGATCATAGCAGATTTAACACGGAAAAGCTATTTGATGTATTTATTGCAGGATTGAAAAGGCTGTGACAGGTTTATTAGGCCCCTGGGCATCAGTAAAGGAGCAGGTGATGGTGGATGTATGGATTCATGTCTGTATTCATGTAGAGACCATATCCAAGAAAACATGGGTCTTCTTTTTATAACCATGGTGTTTATAAGTTTGCATATATTCTATTCACATTAGTTTTATGTTATGTTCTTTTAAATCTATTTATAAAGTTAGGTGGATGGATGGATGGATGGATGGATGGAGTTTTTCTTAGATTTTAGACAGGAGATATTAAAAAAATAATTTCTAAGAATCTAGTTAAAAAATGAGCCTACTTCATTAAGTCGATTTCCTTAATCTTGTGGCAGCTAAGGAGCCATTTGTGCTCTTAGTGGGTTGGAAAGGAGACTGACCCTGGTCATTAAATGCTCTGACAGCAGAGACCCCCATCAGAAATGCCCCTTTGGTGCAGCCTGCAGCTCACTATGGTGTGCCAGACTAAACTAATCAAGCCAGAGCCTCTCTCACGAGTTTAATGGAGGGACACGGTGAAATGGGCTCGTTTGATCTCCCCAGAGCCCCCCTTCTGTTTTGGCTCCGTCTCTTTCTCATGCTGACAGATGCTGAGGGGATAATCTTATAAAAAAAAAGGCCTTTCCATTTCACCTTATTTACCTGAGGGTCATTCATTTAGTCCGGTCGTGATTCCATCTTGGTCAGTCTTGTGAGCCCAGTGTAAACATCATAAAGGCCTTTATGTGCCAAACCACCTTCTTATCTTATCAAACAATGGCTTGTCCTTCTAACAAAGCTGTGTTTCTCTAAAGTCAGCGTGTTACAAAACATTACCTATCAATATAAAACTCTGTAAAGTTGTTAAAGAGAAACCCTGTGCCTCACACACACACAGGAACTTATGTAAAGGGACAAAACATTTGTCACCTTAAACGGCCCCTTGTGACGAGTCCTGGGTGTGTTATCTCTTCAGGAGGCGACCCGCACGACTTTAAAAGTTGGTTAAAGTCAATGAACTGAGAAGCTTGTAACATGAGACAGGCATATGGGCTCTAAGTTTAGATCAGCTCCATGTGAAGTTCTTCCAAGCGCACAGCTTGCACAGCAAAGGGAACGGCCGCCGTGCGATAAGAAATGAAAGCAAGTCACTGGCAGAGTTAACCAGCCTCTGATAGACCCGGTTTGTCCGCCTATGAGCCAGTGATTGTCTGTAAGGAAGAGACCCCTGAAATGAACTCTTCCTACAGACAGCTGTCTCACAGAAGAGTGACTCCCTGTCACAAAACCCAGCAAAACGCCGCTCGCCTACCTCTGTGCTGCTGACTCGCGGACGTCCGAGTGTCCCTCATGGGGGGGAGTCAGCGTACCGCTGGCCACGGGAGAGGAAAGTCCTGCGGAGGGACGGGGTTGTGGGAAGCATGCCCCTGCGCTTCTGCGCCCTTGTCCGCCGGCGAGCGCAAGTATGAGCTCCTGGGCTTGTTTGCCAGTGGAACACCAAGCTGCAAAATAATCAGAGATATGCACTGAGGAAGCAGATTAACCCCTCCCCTGTTCTGTGAGGCACAGGAATGTCTGCTGACTGCTATCACCCTCTCTCTCTTTCGCATGCCCTCACTCTCTCTCTCTCCTGGTTTTCTCACACTTCCTTAAGAATACCGAGGTCAAAGTTTTACTGAGGCTCTTCTGGAGGTCAAAGGCAAGTTGAGACTTTCGGTGTGACAGGAGTGTTAGAGCACTTTTCCAAAATTTTCTCCTGTCTTATAGTCAGGTGACGACTTATATCACAAGGATTCATTTTAAGTAACATCACAAGTGATAAGTTCAAATGGCTTGTTTGAAAGAATGGGCAGGCTTAGTTTTCTCTTTCGTGTTTTCCAGAGAAAAAGGAATGCAAACTATTTGCATGGATAGAATCATTGACCATAAGCCGTGTATCTGGTTTGACAAGTTTACACTTTCAGCAAAACAAAAGTTTGAAGAAGTTTATTAGCCCTGAAAATTAAGCACGTAACCACTAACGAAACATTCAAATTGAAGAAAATTGCGAAAGAACACATAACTCAAATTTGATATAAAACTGTGATACTTTATTAATCCCTGTGGGAAATTCCCTTTTACCTTTGGCCCATCTTGCTCTCCATGAGACACACAGACACAGATACACTGTCAGGAAAAAAGAGCATCAGTTTGTACATTTGCTTGTCACTGGAGCTGATCCCTCAAGGGTCTGAAAGTTGTACCCTTAGCTATAGGTAAATGTACCTTTTATTCTAATTTAAGGTACAAGACAATATTAATGTACCATCAATGTTTCTCAAAGTCCATTTCTATATCTTATAAGGCAGAATTACCTACAGCAAAGGTACAACTTGATACTCTTTTTCATGACAGTGTAGGTGAGAACTAGTTTGGGGGTCACAGAACAGGATCAGCCAGCATGCAGTGCCCAGGGAGCTGGGGGGGGGGGTTATGGGCCTCGCTCAATGGCAATTCTGCGGCTCAAACCAGCAACCCTGCGATCACAGGCACAGAGCCTTAGGCTGCTGGGCCACAAAGTCCTTCCTGAATCCAAATACATTGCTAACACTTTCTTATAGGCATTATATTTCCTCACCACACCTCATTTCTAGCATAATTCAAAGTCCTTCTTGGCTTGCATGCACCTTATTGCTGTGCCCCACTGGTTAAAGGTAAATCCCCACAAGCAGGTTTGCGCATGGTGGCTCTTCACTGGCTGTTTCACAGGGCGCACCGGGCAGGACGGGCAGGACGGGCAATGCGGGCAGCGGGGTGGAACGTCTGGTGGCTTATGCTCATGAACAGTACCGGCGGCCCTCGCTGACATAGCAGTCGGGCCACACTGGAAGTCATGCAAGGAACCTATCTGACATCAGGAATGACCTGACTGACAGAAACATAACAAAGGGCACAGGCTGAGCTGACAATGGGAAGTGGAGGCCCGAGTCAGATATACTTCCCCTCAAAACAAGAATAAACTTCTCTGTACATTAGCAGTTTAAGATCCTGTATCTTATTTTGCAACGACATAATAATAATCATAATACAGTCATAATAGTCAAATACACCTTGACCTGTGTCTCATGTCTAGCTATAGGTTTAGCTTAGTAATACTCCAGGCTGGTATGTTGTCATTTGCACTAATTGCGCTTTTTGTAACGACTATGTAAGTTTCCAAACAAGCATGAAAAAATGTGTTTGTGTCTAATCCCACCTCTTTGAACCATCGTAATGGTTCCTGCTATTGGCAGAGTGTTATGTTTGTCAAAGAGGATGCATTCTTTCCTTTATGTTACACTCATTTGCCGTGACAGCACTCAAAAACCAGAAAATTCCCAGTTAAAATATGAGTCTGGCTATGGCTCTTGATACACTGTAGCCCAGAGGATGGGCTCAGCAGACGCATATTTCACTGGGATGGAAGGCAGTGAGCCACAGGAACAGGCTGCAACAGCACACCGGCCTCAGCCTGCATTTCGCTTTTAGAGATGGGACGTTTGTTCCAGCAGAGTCCCGGGAGCAATGAATATCATTCCAGCAGCCTGTTCACCTCCCACTCAGAATTGCCCATATCCACTCAGGAAGAGCGTTTTCCTGTTATTTAGTTATATCTGTTTGTGGTACAATTGTTTGGTTTTTCTTCCAGGAAGACAATTCAAAATATCCTATAACCAAAAGCTCCATGTAACTATACTGACTGTTAGAGTTTCAGGTGGCAATTCAAGAGAGGCGATCTGCCAGCTCAAACAGGCGTTTGGGCAATAAGAATATCAACACGTTAATAATGGCTTAGTGTCAGGCGGGGAGAAATATGGATGCTTTACATACGGGGGGCAACCGTAAGGCACAAGGACACAAGAGTAACATTACATCTCCCTTGTCTGATACTGTCTCCAATCTCCAATGGCCCATGTAGGGGGCCACCTACCCAAGTCAGCTTATAGCCCCCAGGGCAGTAATTCTGCCCCTGGTCACATATACTCGTGGCCCGTCTTAAGTCGTAGTTAAACAGCATGAAGGCGCACCTCCACTGCCAATTAATGAGCCTGTCAGACCTGCAGGTATCTGTGCCGCACATTTATTGGCGTCGTTAAAGTGAACTCGGCAGGGCTGCCGCGTAAATGCTAGCGACCAGCCGCATACATGCAAGCTGCACTCGTTAACAGCGGACGGGGGCCACTAGTGCTCCGAGCAGCTGCAGACGGGAAGCTCAGGGCGCCGCTCACATCCCTCCATTGTCCCGCTTCCTCCACGGCCCGTTTCCTCGGGGAGCTGCAAACGGCAGCAATGCACCACTGCACACCGTGGCCAAAACATCCCAGGACACACAGATAGTAAGCGGTAGCGGATATGTAAATTCGCGGCAATCACCGTCCCTGTAAGGATATTACGTAAAACAGGCTCCATGGTGCACCTGATTGTAAAATCACATGCATAAGACATTCGAAGTACGACAAAAAAAAGTATGCAAATATAAACAGGGGAATTCTACAGTACACAGATGCTATAATGAATAATAGTGACCGTTTCTTAGATAAACAGACGACAAACCGCTCTACCAGAAGTATGTGTAAATTAATGCAATTAGGAAAGCTGCTTCTGTATGCACACCCGTTACTTACAAACGAATTAAACGGTTTTCGAAGTGATACGTATCAGTCTTTTAATAAGGTGCTGGGATGCAATATGTCGTGTGACCACCAGATGTCGGCAGATGCCGCCACATTAATAACAAGCCATTAAAATCCACCTGTAGATGCCAACTTTCCTGAAGATGGCGGTAGATTTCTTCTTGTGTGATACCCAAACCATTCTTTCACGAAAAAAATCATGTGTCTTCCCGAAGCTTTGGGTTTGGCATGAGCGCGGAATACAGCGGCCGCTGGCTCGAGTGCCAATCGGATGCCTCTGACGTAGGCCGCCAGAAGATGGAATCGGGCACCGAGGTTGGTGCGAGCGCAGTGCCGTGACGGCGCCTATCGGTAAGCAGTGAGCCCTCAGTGGTGTCTCTCTCCGGGAGAGAAGGAGAATCAACTGCAGGCGGAATGTGACAGAGTAGCATTGCACCTCCATTGCAATCCGGCTTTAGCACAATCCTCGACAGGCGCTGCCACTGCAAGAATATTGCTGTAATCGGCTTCTTCTACAGAACAGCCTATCCTCCAGTTACTATTCCAGGTCTCTTCACCTTGCCTGTGTCCGTCACTGCACTCGACACCGGGCAAGCTCACGGGCGCGTATTCCAGTTGGGAAAGGATGAATTAATATATATCGCTGCTTTAAATATTTATATCATCCGGTGTTTTTACTGGACATTCTAATAGCTTCTTGATCTGACTCCACTGGAGAAGAACAAGAGGATATTTGAAGTGCATTTGAAACAATTTATTTCGAGGATCATATTTTCCCTGGACACGCTTTTTCGAATGAGAATTTTTCTGCACCATGAGCACTAGTGGTAAGTGAATAGCTTTTTTTTTGTCGAAACCACCCTGCTGTTTTATAAGAAATGCAACTGAAGTATATAGGGGGAAAGCAATAGTGTTAAGAGATAATACCTTAAAATGACGGTAATATCGTGAAGGTACTCTGGCATACTCACTTTCCCACCAAGAATACCGTGTGTAGGTATCCTTGACTAGGTTACATATGAAATCATTCACATATTTTAATGAACGGCATTTTATAATGTATGTTATCCTATATTTCCATGCATTTTTCCATGCACGGAATTTCCCGCGATTCACTATGCTATTTTCATTATATTGGATGTTATATCCATCTTGAGCCTAACATTTGTTTAAGGATTTTTTTGTTAATTGACGATCGCGACTTCTGCATCGGAATGTTTGGTACCCTCGCGTGTCTGGCTCGCGCCGTGTGCGCGCAGCGAAGTTCAATCAGCACCCTGTGCGAATTAGCACGACCAAGTAGGTAATAAATGAAATATGTATCTACTACTCGAACTCCTAAGCATCTTTCCCACCCTGTCATCTTGGACTGTTTTGCAGATTTGTACTAAGCTCCATCCATGAGTTAGGCTGAGCCCCGTGTCATGGTGCATTTCAAAACCTTACAACTTGAACTTCTATCCAACTGCACATGCACGCTGTGGCTGGGGATTTTGTTGTTTTTGTGAAGAATTTTTTTTTGTAATGCTGCTGTCTTTGAAGACAGGCTTTTGGGGAGTCAACGGGCTGCAGGCCAATGCATTTTATTGCACTTTTTGAAATTCCTTAGGTGACCAACTTGCAGCTGTTGCAGAGTTATCATACGGGAGCTGGCGGCCTGGGGTGTCAGACCAGTCATATATCATACAGCATTTAGTCACTCGTTCCCCCACCCTGGTGTTTTGACAATGAATCATCCGTTTTCTGTTAGTTTGTATGTTGGAAAGATTGCTGCTGTCAGGACTGTATGGCTGGGTATTGGTCAGGGACTGCTGTCAATGACCGTGTTGTTTATGTGTGGAAGACAGCACTCCTGAGATCTTTGTCTTGTCAGAAAAGCCTCCACAGAAGTAGGACCCTTGCTGACCCCGGCTGGCATGGAAGACGCCACATTCCCAAAGCATGATGGACTTATTTAAGTTTCCCAGTGCGGATATAATGAGTTTGCCATGTGACTGTGAAATCTCTCCCGTCTGAGTGTCAGGACTGGGGAGCACATGTGCCTGTGTGTGAGGGCAGGAGGAGTTCTATCACTGAGTGGCTTACAGCAGGCGAGGCCTGCTTAGAGCCCACTTTTACCTGCAAGCTTGTCATCCTCGCATTACAGCACGTGGCCACGCTACATTCTGCATTCTTGTCAAAAGTAGCGACCGTGTTTTGTGTGCCGTGTCCAGAACCCTTCAGCTGTTCAGAATGGACGGTGGTTTAAGCTTCGTTCAACCTTGGCCATCTCCCACAGCTCAGTGTGAAACAAATGCGGAGTAATTTCTCGTTAGCATGACGACAGGAGGTGGGGATTGGGCCAAAACAAAGAGGGTAAAATGCCCAGAATGGACACATGCAGGCTAGATGCAAATTGCGCTCTGATTTTTCCGTGGCGAACTTCATACTCTCGTTATTCATTCATTGGCCCCTGTTCTCCTTGTCAGTGTAATATAGCCACCAACTTGGGATTTTATCGTTGTCCTCCAGGCTCTGCAAACTGTAAGTTATAGTACTAACAAGGCACTGAGTTACAAGCAGCGACATAAAGTCGAGGGGTTGTTGGGAGACTAGAAGACTCCCGAAAAGTAGAAAGTAGTAAAAGAAAAAGAATGATGGGTGTCTGCGGCTAATTAAGGTTAAAAGGTCTTTCGTGCAAATGAAAAGGATAAAATTGGCTAAGCGGCGATGAGGATTTGACCCAAAATGATCACTCTTAAGATGGATTTCCCATTAAAAAGCCATTCTCAGATGCCATTTATTCAGTATGTTTGTCAAACATGAGATCTCCTAAGTCATCTACCAGGGGTAATAATGAGCAAAAAATAGCCAGCTTTAACTATAAAAGAAGAGAGCAATTAAAGTTTGCTGAGAACACAGACTGTGGTTGGAGACCACGGTAACGTACTGTGTCGGAGTATGTCAGAGTTTGTCATAGTTTGTCGGAATTGTATCTTGTGACATGTAGTGTATCAGGGTGAAGTAATTGCTGTCGTGTTGCATATTTTTGGCGTTGCTTCACTGTCTACTTTGTTCCCCCATTGCAGCACAGTTGAATTTAGCATAGCAACATTTCAGAGTTCTCTGGGGGGGGGGGGGGTTTCCCTTGTCCCCGCACTGTCATCGACCTTTAAGTGGCTTCGTGGAAATGCCTGGCATGGTTTCAGCAAGCTGTGGGATTCTACACTCCGCTGTCTGCAAGTGGGACATGCGCTGACCTGGCCAGAGTGCTCTTGGCTTGAATCCGTTCATACGGGTTAATCGCACCAGGAAACAAGCAGCAGTCAAACGGGATCCTGGTGAAGCAAAGTGTTCTGCCTGTGTGATGTGATGTGTGCAGCCTTCGTCTGTCACGGTGCCATCAGAACCCATGCAGTGGTTGCGACGGACAGATGGCGGGTGATGTGTCAACGCAAGGCCGCCGGCGACACAGCCGTGGTGCCCAGAAAAAGCCGGCATTCGTGACTCTGGCCATGATGACGAGACACTTACTGCAACTAAGTGACTTCACAGGAAGGCTGGAGATCATATTGCTCCAGGAGCAGAATTACCCACGTAGTAACAGCTACATGAGGAAGTGTTTTGCCCTCAAATTATTCACAAGCCCAAAAATTTAGCAGGATCAGACAGATTAATATTCAGTCACTGTAATGCATTTCAGTCTAAAAGCTGCAGATCACCCTCTCCCTTAAATGTTGTGATTTCACCCTAAAATATTACTTTACAAGGGACCCGAGCTTATGGAGACTTTACTTGAAACACTTGCATCCAGGGGCATCACCTTTTGGTGTCACCCCCAAGGAGACAGCCAGTTCTCCTTGAGAGGTGAAGCCAGGAATCAGCACAGCAGCTGGAAGCCATGAGGCCAGTGAGGCAGTTATCTGAGTAATTCAGTTTTTACACTACATTGGACATAATGGTCAGGCAACTGAAGAGAGGCTTGAGATGGCCGATTACACTTCGATTGGCCTGCTTCTCTTCATTTATTCTTCTCATTTTCCACTGGACTGGAGGAACACCAGACTAGTCTCTCTCTCTCTCTCTCTCTCACTCACTCACACAGACACGCACACATTTGCTCTTCCTCTGTGCTCCACTAGACTCCTTAGTTTGACAATAACAGTCAGCTTTAGTACAAGTCTTTGGAGGGTCCAGACTCTGCCTGAAGATCCCCCACATGCAGTGCCATGCCAGAATAAGTAATACATTTCATTTAATGTTGCATGTGTGGCAGACCATAAGTCCATTAGATGTAGTGACCTGTCTGTAGGGATCCTTCAAGGTGACCTCAAGGTCATGAAGTACCGATTCACCCTCCCTGTGGACACCTTCCACCGAGTGTTGCTTTGTTTGAGGGGAAAAGCAGGGAGCTGTCGCACAGTGGAACCCAGTGATGTAACACTACATTATATCACTGGCTGAGGAAGGCACTCCTGGGCACAGTGGCACTGACCCACTAGACCCATCAGGTCTCTTCTAGGGGTGAGGGGGTTTCATCATTCACCCTCGTGGCTCGATGGCTTACTATCCGTCATTCTTTGAGGGACTTCTCAGTCTGACTGCTCTGGAAGCAGGTGGAGTGCAGTGACATGATGTCATCGGGATGGGGTTTGTTTGTCATGCACCTGTGCCTGCGTGCTCCAGGAAATGCAGTGCTTTGACTCAGTCTGGAGATATCATTAGCTATAACCGGGCCACACAGTTTGTAGCTGCTTTTAGCTTATGTTAGCATTTTTTAATTGAAAACAGGGAAGTGAATTTCAGTGACCTGATTTTCATTTGCTATGGCACCACAACTCGTCAACTACAAAATATATGGTGATAACAGTCGCCATCATAAGGATGTGCACCAGTCTGATGTGTCAACCAAGCATTTCCTGGAGATTCTGGTTAAGGTCTCTTGGGTAAACAGTCCATCCAGCAGGGAAACACTGTGTCCCAAGGCTGCAGCTGGTCCTTGACGCATTACTCTTTCACTCGTCGTCTTCAGGGAGTGATCCCTCGCGGGTATCATACGTCATACTGGCCATGCACCATTAGGCAGTGCCTAGCAGGATAACATCGACTCAAATGCTAATGAGGAGGATAGAGAGTCAGCCATTTTTTTGGGCGAGAGATCCTAGGTTCTGGGAAAAGGGCACGTGCAGGAAGATGTGGGAAGATGAGGAAGTGGGATTTGACAAAGGAGTGTGGAGTAAGGAGTTTGGCGCAGATGGAAGGAAGCGAGGGGAAGATAAGAGGAGAAAGCCAGGTGAGGGGGGAGCGCATGGGCGTAAATTATGGGGGGATGGGGGGGTTGTAGCCCCCCCAATAAATCAAAACCAGCTAATACAACCCCGCCAATAATCATGTTTCCCCCGTAATGGGTGGAGACCTCAACCCCCCCAATGTTCCAGCCAAAGTTATGCCCTTGGGGGAGGGGCAGTGCAGGGGGGTGAGCAGGCCCAAGGGTGTATGGATTCACCTGCTTGGTAACAAACAGGGAGGGAGCCACAGGGGCTGGGAATTAGGGCCTGGAAACCACATCTCACTCAGTGGAAGTGGGCACCGAGTTGCCGGCAGTGCACTGCCATGGTACCTCACCGAGAGGACGTGGGCACAGAGCGGCCAGCGATGTGCTCCCATGGTACCTCACTAGGGGACATGGGCACAGAGCGGCCAGCGATGTGCTCCCATGGTACCTCACCTAGAGGACGTGGGCACAGAGCGGCCAGCGGTGTGTTCCCATGGTACCTCACCTAGAGGACGTGGGCACAGAGTGGCCGGCGGTGTGTTCCCATGGTATCTCACCTAGGGGACGTGGGCA